GTTGGGGGGAGGGGGTGTTGGTCCGGTCTGAGTGTTGGGGGGAGGGGGGTGTTGGACGGGGGTCCGGTCTCAGTGTTGCAGTGTTTGGTGTAGCGGTGTCTGCAGTCTTATGTGTCATTAGCAGTCAGGTGATCTGTGTTCCAGGTTCTGATTCGCTGCAGAGTAAATCGCAGGTTGGGGCGTCTGAGGAAATTGCTGCAACGACTTCGGGCGGAGCGCGGGGGAGACGGGACGTTTGGTAAGGGGCGGGGACACCATTCCGGATGTGACGTAATGATTGGTGTAGGCGGGTCACATGGGACTCTTTATCTCACACAGAGAGCAGTGATGAAGAAATGATCCACATTCTCCCCGCGCCAGCCAATCACATCCCATTCCAGGACTTCCCTCCCTATCCCGCGGACCCCGAGGGATCGGTGAGTACACGGTGATACCTGGCCAGTGCCGTTGCCATGGGTTACCGCACATTGATGGTGAATGACTCCCTGATGTGATGGGGGGGGGGGGGTTTCATAGTGGGCCCCTTTATAAAGGAGAACCCCGAAGTGTTGCTGCATTGATGTCAGAGTGACCCCGATATGTGGGGGTGCCGCCACTTCCACTGAGACGGGTCATCCGAGGGCGGAGCTCTAATAATTGTCTCTCTTCTTCTGCTGCACTCAGACCCCTGGAAGTCTCTGCGCGGTGACCCCACAACCGGCCGCCGTCCACCTCAAAGTTCAACTACCGTTCTACGATTTACAGGTGACAAATCCCCTCTCACCGGCTGCACCCCAATTTACACTGCACTGTACCCACTGAGCCACTTACACTGCACTGTACCCACTGAGCCACATATACTGCACTGTACCCACTGATCCACATACACTGCACCGTGCACACTGATCCACATACACACTGATCCACATACACTGCACCGTGCACACTGATCCACATACACACTGATCCACATACACTGCACCGTGCACACTGATCCACATACACTGCACTGTACCCACTGAGCCACATACACTGCACCATGCACACTGATCCACATACACTGCACCGTGCACACTGATCCACATACACACTGATCCACATACACTGCACCGTGCACACTGATCCACATACACTGCACCGTACACACTGATCCACATACACTGCACCGTGCACACTGATCCACATACACTGCACCGTGCACACTGATCCACATACACTGCACCGTGCACACTGATCCACATACACTGCACCGTGCACACTGATCCACATACACTGCACCGTGCACACTGATCCACATACACTGCACCGTGCACACTGATCCACATACACTGCACCGTGCACACTGATCCACATACACTGCACCGTGCACACTGATCCACATACACTGCACCGTGCACACTGATCCACATACACTGCACCGTGCCCACTGATCCACATACACTGCACCGTGCCCACTGAGCCACATACACTGCACCGTGCACACTGAGCCACTTACACTGCACCGTGCACACTGAGCCACATACACTGCACCGTGCACACTGAGCCACTTACACTGCACCGTGCACACTGAGCCACATACACTGCACCGTGCACACTGAGCCACATACACTGCACCGTGCACACTGAGCCACATACACTGCACCGTGCACACTGAGCCACATACACTGCACCGTGCACACTGAGCCACATACACTGCACCGTGCACACTGAGCCACATACACTGCACCGTGCACACTGAGCCACATACACTGCACCGTGCACACTGATCCACATACACTGCACCGTGCACACTGAGCCACATACACTGCACCGTGCACACTGATCCACATACACTGCACCGTGCACACTGAGCCACACACACTCTGTGCTGTATTATTGATGTCTCGGTGTTGTTATCAGGTTCCTCGGCATTATAAGGTGATGGGATATCAGCCGGTTGGGACACACTCGCTCTCCTACCACTCCCCACGGCCGGCACGCCCACTGAGGAGCGGGGCCGAGGTAATAATTACCCTCACACCACCATGTGTCTCTTCTCAGGGGCCCGGACCCCCAGAGGGGCCACACTGACCTGTGAGGCTCCACGCCAACGTCCATCCAGCTTTCTCTACTTCTCTGTCTGCAGGACGAGCTTCTCCCGATGGCGACCCCTGACCCCGACGTCCCGGGAACCGCCCTCAGTGGGCGGAGAGAAGAGGAACGTTCCGCCCACCTGACACTGAGACCCCCGGAGCAACTACTACACCCCCCGGACTTCCATCCCATGCACGTCTTTGTGAGTGGAGCCGGTGTACTATCACCCCCATCATCATTATACAGGATTTATATGGTGCCAGAAGGCTGCTCAGTGCCGGGGGGTTAGAAGGGCTCCGCTCCGGAGAGCTTACAATCTAAGAGGGAGGGGCATGTGATAACA